GCCCAGCCCAGGGGTGACAGGGGGCTCAAGTTGGGGACAAAACCCAGCCCAGGGGTGACAGGGGTGTCAGGCTGGGGACACAGCCCAGCCCAGGGGTGACAGGGGGCTCAAGTTGGGGACAAAACCCAGCCCAGGGGTGCCAGGCTGGGGACAAAACCCAGCCCAGGGGTGCCAGGCTGGGGACACAGCCCAGCCCAGGGGTGACAGGGGGCTCAGGTTGGGGACAAAACCCAGCCCAGGGGTGACAGGGGGCTCAGGTTGGGGACACAGCCCAGCCCAGGGGTGACAGGGGTGCCAGGCTGGAGACACAGCCCAGCCCAGGGGTGACAGGGGGCTCAGGTTGGGGACACAGCCCAGCCCAGGGGTGACAGGGGGCTCAGGTTGGGGACACAGCCCAGCCCAGGGGGCTCAGGCTGGGGACACAGCCCAGCCCAGGGGTGGGACCAGCCTGGCTGCCCTGCACACCCAGGGATTTGGGACAGGCAGGGACATGGCTGGGTGCAGGGACAGGGACAGATCTCAGCTCCTGCTCGGCCCTGGGGAGGGGGATCCGCTCTGGGGGTGGCAGAGCCGGGAGGAAAAGGGAGCCGGGGTCCAGCTGTGCCTCTGCAGCCACCCCTTAATTAACGACTGACCTAATGAAGCATGCCTGCACAGAATCACTGAGGTTGGCAAAGCCCTTTAAGGTCATGCAACCCAAGCAGTGGCACACTCACCATCGTGTCCCCAGGGGCGGCCGAGGACACCACGAGCAGCTCCGAGCTTTTACCATTTAACAACTTTTTTTGTTTGTTTTTTTTTCAGGAGCTAGGAGGGGCAGGTGGGGGGTCAGTAGTGCGAGCGCTGCCGGCGCTGCGGTGGCAGCTGTCCCCAGGGTCACTGCATGCAGGGGTACTGCCAGTCCCCCAGGGTCACTGCATGCAGGGGTACTGCCAGTCCCCCAGGGCCACGTGTGTCTCCTTGATGGCCTGCGGGGACGTCCAGCGCAGCAGGTAGTGGGGACCCCCGGGCTTGTCATTGGTGCCTGGGGACAGCAGAAAGGGCTGGTGGCACCACGAGGGTGGCAGGGACACCGAGGGACACAAGGGTGGGGACATGGAGGGGCACAGGAGGGACACACAGGGACAGGAGGGATGAAGAGAACAGGGACACGGAGCACAGGAGGGAGGGGAGGGGTGGGAGGGACACGGGGGACACATAGGGACATGGACACAGAGGATGGGGACATGGAGGGACACTCAGGGACAGGAGGGACGAAGAGAACAGGGACACAGAGCACAGGAGGGACGTGGAGGGATGAGAGGGACATGGGACAGGAGGGACATGGAAGGACAAGGAGGACAGGAGGGATGGGAGGGACACAGGACAAGGGACACGGAGCACAGGAGGGACGTGGAGGGATGGGAGGGACACAGGGGACACAGGAGGACAGGAGGGACGTGGAGGGATGAGAGGGACACGGGACAGGAGGGATATGGAAGGACAAGGAGGACAGGAGGGACGCAGAAAGATGGGAGGGACATGGAGGGACACAGAGGGACATGGACACAGAGGATGGGGACATGGGGCACAGGAGGGACACTCAGGGACAGGAGGGAAGAGAACAGGGACACGGAGCACAGGAGGGATGTGGAAAGGATGAGAGGGACACGGGACAGGAGGGACATGGAAGGACAAGGAGAACAGGAGGGATGGGAGGGGCACAGGACAAGGGACAAAGGGGACAGGAGGGACACAGGGGACAGGAGGGACGGGAAGGACACAGGACACAGGAGGGACACGGAGGGATGGGAAGGACACAGGACACAAGGAATGCGAGGGACATGGAAGGACAAGGAGCACAGGAGGGACATGGAGGGATGGGAAGGACACGGAGGGACACAGAGCAATGTGAGGGACATGGAGTGACACAAAGGATGGGGACATGGAGGGACACGGGGCACAGGAGGGACATGGAAGGACAAGGAGGACAGGAGGGACACGGAGGGACGTGGAGCACAGAAGGGACACAGGGGACACAAGGAATGGGAGGGACATGCAGGGATTGGAGGAACAAGGGGACACAGAGGATGGGGACATGGAAGGACAAGAAGGACAGGAGGGACATAGAGACAAGAGGGACATGGAGGGATGGGAGGGACATGGAAGGACAGGAGGGACACAGGGGACAGGAGGGACACAGGGGACAGCTGGGGAGGGCCTGGCCAGCAGCCCTGGTGTCACCTGAGATGCGGGAGCCCCCGAAGGGCTGCTGGGCCACCACGGCCCCCGTGGATTTGTCGTTGATGTAGATGTTGCCGGCGGCGTGGCGCAGCACCCGCAGGGACTCCTCGATGGCAGCCCTGGGCAGGGACAGGCACAGCCCTGAGCACCCCAAAATGGGCACACAGGGGCTTGGGGCCCCCCCGAGGGGTTTGTTGTCCCCTCCTGAGGGTTTAAGGGCTCAGCTCCAGGCCTCGGGGGTTTCACACACACACAGCTCGTGCGTTTTGGCTGCTTTGGGGTTTCTTTTCAGCTTCTTTCTCTATTTACGTGTCATGGTTGTAAACCAAAGGTTGTTACCCCTCATTCTCCAGGGAAACGTGGCTGCCCCATCCCTGGCAGTGCCCCCTCCAGGCTGGAGGGGGTTTGGAGCACGCTGGGACAGGGGGAGGTGGCCCTGGATCAGCCCTAAAGTCCCTCCAGCCCCAGCCAGCCCCAAATTCTGTGACAATTTTGGGTGATTCTCTCTGAGGTTACACCACTCTTTGCCCTCCTCCTGCTGAGTGGGCTGTGGGATCAACCCCCACGCGCTCCAAACATTCCTTTGGGATAATTCTTCACTGAAAAAAGAGCTTTTTTGGGCTAAGAACCCCCCAAAATTGAACTAAGCTAAACTTCCAAACCATCCCTTCCCCTCCGTGCAGGAGGAGCAGCAAAAGCAGCACAGGCTGGGTGGGGGAATGCTCTCCCCTGCTCTGGAGAGGAGGGAGATCCTCCAGAGGGGAAAAGCACCCCCCAGCTGCTTTTTGGGGGAATTTTCGGGAATTTTGGGACTCACTTCTCCCGGGCGAAGATCGCCCCCGTGAGGCCGTAGGGGGTGGTGGTGTCGATGAGCTCCAGCACCTCGCGGTAGCGCTGCTCGGGGTACACGAACACGGCCAGGATGGGCCCGAAGATCTCCTGGGGCCCAGGAAAAACACCCGAGAGGCAGGTTCAGCCCAAAAAAATGCACACCCCATCAGGATGGGCCCAAAAAAATGCACACCCCATCAGGATGGGCCCAAAAAAATGCACA